GTGGGTGGGGTTGGCTGTCACAGGTCACTGAGGTTGTATAAATGCAAACCCCAGTCTCAGATGCTTTGCCCCTGTTGTCTGAGCCACTTTCTCTCCTGTGACTCTGTGACCCTCCTTGGAGGTCACCTTCTTCTTGAGCCTCCTCCAAAGAGATGACTGTATTCATTGGCTAAACCTGCTGTAACAAAGTGCCGCAGACTAGCTGGCTCAAAACACAGAAATAGGGGGCCAACCCCATGGCGTAGTGATTAAGTTTGGTGTGCTCCACTTTGGCAGCCCAGGTTCATGGGTTTGGATCCTGAGTGTGGACCTACACTACTCATCAGCCATGCTGTAGCCATGCAAGCCACTTATAAAGTGGAGGAAGATTGGCATGTATGTTAGCTCAGGGCTAATCTTCCCCTGCAAAAAAACCCCCAAAAAACCCCAGAAATATATTGTGTCACAGTTCTGGTGGTTGGAAGTCTGAGATCAAGGTGCTGGCAGGGTTGATTCCTTCTGTGGGCTGTGAAGGAAGGATCGCTCCGAGACCTCTCTCCTTGGCTTGTAGATGGTTGTCTTCTCCCTGTGTCTTCACATCATTTTCCCTCTGTGAGTGTCTGTGTCCGAGTCTCCTCTTCTTATAAGGCCACCTGTCATATTGGATTGGGTTCACCCTAATGACTTCACTTTAATTTAGTTGCCTCTTTGAAGGCCATATCTCCAAATATTGCTACATTCTGAGGTATGGGGGGTTAGCACTTCAACATAAAAATGTTTGGTGGGACGTTGTTCGGTACACAACAACGACCCATGGGCCCTGGGCTGGGGTTGGGTGCTGATTTGGTTCACCTAAAGCTCCAAGAGGCTCAGGCTCCTTTCCTGTAGGCTTCCTCCTCCAGTAGCCTGGCCTCCATTTCCGCACCTTCCCTTCCTCAGCTTGGAAACCTCCCATAAAACCAAGCTGAGTTGCTGTGAGCTGGGCATTGTTTTTATTGTCTGTCTTCCTTCCTCATTCTTTAGCCAAGCAGTCCCAGCAGTGGGTGGCACTTATGCTGTGAGGGATGGTCCATGTGGCTTTGTCCTCAGGCAGTTTCACAAGGTGTGAAGGCAGATCCCATGGTAATGCTGGGTGTAGGAAGCTTAGTACGATGTGGTTTTTCAGTGTTTGATCATCTCAGGACCAATTTCCTTTTGTTATTGATTTTGGCTTTGGATGATCAAATGGTCTATTGTGATAAGGCAAAGTGTGTAAAATACTTCACATAGTATCTGATGAGTAGTAGACCTGTGGTGCACAGTACTGTTATTATTACAACCTGTCTTCACCTTCCTTTCTTTAGAAAGGGACCTAGATGCTCACATCCTCAGAGGCTACCAATTATGCTAACACCATTGAGTCCCAGGGCATTAGCATTCGTTAAATAATCACTATATTGTACCCATCATGTGATTTACTCCCACATGTAACTATATAATATGGACATTTTCATCCCCATTTGACATATGAAAAAATCTGAGACTCAGAAAGGCGAATTGACTTGTTCAAGGCCACATAGAGGAGAGATTTGAACCCAAGCACTGGAGCTGAACCCCCAAATGTTTCTACTCGGCCATTCTCTCTCCTTGTCTGATACAAGGAGCTTTTGTCTTGGGCTCCAGCAGTGCCGTCCCAGCCCAGATTGTGGGGCTGTAAAGGAGAAAGTCCTTGTGGCCCAGTGGTTAAGTTCGCGTGCTCTGCTTCAGCAGCCTGGGGTTTTGCTGGTTCGGATCTTGGGTGTGGATGTGGCACCACTCATCAAGCCATGCTGAGGCCACATCCCACATGCCACAACTAGAAGGACCCACAATTAAAAATACACAACTATGTACTAGGGCACTTTGGGAGAAAAAGGAAAAATAAAATCTTTAAAAAAGAAGAAAAAGGAGAAAGGCTCCTTTGATGGCTGAAAAGGAAGAATAATTTAGAAGACTTCCATTATGACCATTGGTTATGTAAGCCAAAATCTTTTCCTTTCTCCTCCTGGAAATTACATCAAAGCAAGAAGACCAATAAAAACCCCTGTCTTTATCTCTAATCCCTCTTATAATTTATATCTTCAGAAAAACTCAGAGGGGGCTGGCCTAGTGGCTTAATGGTCAAGTTCGTGTGCTCTGCCTCTGCAGCCTTGTGTTCGCAGGTTTGGATCCCAGGTGTGGATATACGCACCACTCATCAAGCCATGCTGTGGCTGTGTCCCACATACAAAATAGAGGAAGATTGGCATAGACGTTAGCTCGGGTCTCACCTTCCTCACCAGAAAACTCCACAAAAAATAAGATCTAGAAAATATCCACAAACTCTAAAATATCTGTAAGGGCTGCCCAAAACATCTGAAGCAAGAAGTTTCCTGGAAGGAAGTACAAGAGAAGCCCCAGAATAGTGGATGGGCCAGTGGTGGCACATCTTAGAAAGTGCTGTCAAAATATGCTTCCTAGGGGTAAGAGGCTCATCCTAAAGTGTGAAAGCTATAGCCTTTGTTTGCAACCACCCATGAGGGAACTGTAATATGCAGGCGGGGAGCAGAAGCTCTCCTAGACGCAGTCACATTCAGAGAAGCAGAGGAGGCAGGGTTACAGAAATTCACTGGGAAGCCATTTTCGCAGGAAGCAGTCTGTCTTTGTGGCAGCAGAGATCTTTTGGGTTTTGAAGCCTGGAGAGCTATCCTGACCCCTTCTTGGCCTTCCCTGGTGGAAGGTCCAGGAAAATTCAACCCATGAAATGACTACTACTTTTTTTAAAGGAACTTTCACAGCATTTATACAAAGCTTAGATAAGGAAAAATCTAGAAAAGAGGAGCAAAATTTGCTAATAGGTGAAGAGTATTTACCAGAGAACCATATACCAAGATAAATTCCAAAGAGGTCAAAGATTTTATTGCATAAAATAAAGCCATACAAATATAGAAGAAAATATGGATTTATTTATTTCTAATTTTAAAAAGTTATTTACATTATTAACAAAGACAGATAATGAACTGGGTGAAATTTTAGCATAGATAAAGGACTAATCTCCCTAATGGATATACATCCCCCAGAAAATGAATAAAAAGAACAAGTTCATTAGAAAAAAAAGGGCAAAAAACTAACCAAATACATAAAAGAACAGGTAGTTTAGAGCAAAGGAAGTACAGATGGTTCTTGAATCAATGGAGAGATGCTCAACCCCACTTATAATAAGAAAAATAAATGAGAATGACTTTGTGCTACCATTTTCCTCTCTCAGATTGACAAAACCACACAAGTTTGGTAACACATTCTGTTGACAAGGCTGGGGGGAGACACTCTTCCATGCATTGCTGTTGGGAAGGTGAATGGGTTCAGTTCTTGAGGGGGCATGTGTGGAGATACAATACTTGCACCGTTTGACTCACCACTTCTACTTCTGGGAATCTGTGCTGCACATACCGTGTACATGTAGAATGACGTACATACACAGTCATTCATTGTAACAGTGTTTAAACTTCAAGAGTTGGGAAATAACAAAATTGTCACTTAGAGTCTGGTTAAATAAATAATGGTTCATTCATACAAGTGAATGTTCTCTGGCTGAAAAAGAGAATGAGGACATTATGTAATGATATTAAAAAATTCTAAAATGTATTGGTAAGTGAAAAAACAACACACAGAAGAGTATCTTTTGGAAAATGCTACTTTTTGAGTAAGGAAATGGGAGAAACAAGAATGTATGTTCACAATCGCATATGTATGCATATATTCGTATATACATATGCAAATATGAACATACATATGTATATGTGTGCATATATTTGCATGTGTATATATTACACATATACATATACATATTATACATAGAGAGAGGGAAATTCTGGAAGGACACACAAGAAACTAACATTGGTTTCTTAGGAGTGGAGGGGGCAGGAAGTAGGATGGACACTTTTCACTCTATATTTTTATACATAATTTAACCATGTGCATGTCTTACCTATTTGTATTCATTTCCTAAGGCTGCTGTAACAAATTACCACAAACTCCTGCTTTAAAACAACTGAAATGTATTCTCTCACAGTTCTGGAGGCCAGCTGCTGGCAAGGCTGTGCTACTCCTGAAGGAGCTAGGGGAGAATCTTTCCTTGCCTCTTCCAGCTTCTGGCGGCTCCTGGTGGTCACTGGGTGGTAGACGGCATCACTCCAGTCTCTGATGTTTCTTCACGTTGTCGTCTCCTCCATACTTCTTTGTCCCCTCCTCTTACAAGGATATCACTCGCTGGATTTAGGGCTCACCCTAAATCCAGGCTGATAGCATCTTGAGATCTTTAGCTAATTACAGCTTCAAAGACTCTATTTCCAAATAGCATCATATCGTGAGGTTCTGGGTGGACATGAATTTTTGGAGGACACTATTCAATCCACTACACTATTCAAAAATAAATAATAAAATAGAACTCTTGTGAAATAAAGTTTGTGTTTGCAAACAATAATAATTCTTTTAAAAGTTAGAATTTCTAGGTTAAGTAAGTAATGAAGCTGAAATACAATGGAAATCCATTCTGTAAACGAGAGGGACAGTTTAACTGAAGCCATCATGCGTCTCAGCACTATTTACCCATCTTAGAGGAAGAAGAGAGCTGGGAGTGAACGAAAATACATTCAACACAGATCAAGCATAAAGAGACAGTTGAATGGGCTCAAATTCTGTTAACAAGGGGATCAGCTAACTAGATTTATGCTGAGTTTGTGTCATGTAAAATGGTGAAGTTTCTGTCCATCATTTCTAAGAGAGTCTCAGATGGTCTTTGCTGTAAATACGATGAGCTCACATCTCAGGATTTGAGACATAGCGTTTTAAGAAGAATGACTAAGAAATGGTGTTTGGATATTGTCTTAGTCTGCTTGGGCTGTCATAACAAAATACTATAGACTGGGTGGCTTAGACAATAGAAACTTCTCTCTCACAGTTGTGGAGGCTGGGAAGTCCAAGGTCAAGGTGCCTGCTGATTCAGTTCCTGGTGAGGGCTCTCTTCCTGGCTTGCAGATGGCCACCTTCCTCCTGCGTCCTGTCCTGATGGAGGGAGAGAGAGGGAGAGAGCAAGAGTGAGCTCCCTGGTGTCTCTTCTCACAGGGACACTAATTCCATCAGATCACAGCTCCACCCTCATGACCTCCTTTAACCTTAATTACTTTCTCACTCTAAATACAGTCACACTGGGGGTTGGAGTTTCAACGTAGGAACTTTAGGGGGCACAACTCAGTCTATGGCAGATATTTTAAATCAACCCAAGCATCTTCAACATTGTTAAAGGTGCATGATATAAGACTCAAGTATGGGTTCTGAATAAAGCAGAATTTGAGGTATTTTAGACACAATCATAGAGAACCCTAGTTTATCATTTAACAAACTACGTCCATCTTGGGTGCTGGGATGAACGACAAGATATTCATTCATGTGAATAGGAGGCACTTCTTGTTAAAGTTTTTGGGGTTAAAAAAAAGCATCCCTTCCAGAAGAGTACTTAGGCCTTAAAGGGCTTGGAGTCAGACCATCCCAGCTCCGGCACTCAGCAGCTGTGGAATTTTGGGCAAACTACCTCCCATCTTTGAGTCTCGGTTTCCTCAACCACAAAATGGGAATCTAGTAGCCCTCCTTGGATTGTTATGGAATTAAGTGAGATGAGATCCGTGGCTTTATTATTATCAATAACAAAAAACATGCATGGAGAAAACTTTGCCACATGCCCAGCAAAACTCTAGAAAAGATTATTGAGCAGGTGCTTTGTGGCACTAAGAAAGGAAAGTAGGGATCCCCCAAAGGTGGAGCTGTTCGATTTAGGAACAGCAGCTAGCTTGCTTTGGCTGAGCGTGGAGTGCAATAATTCCCCCACTTAACAAACATTTGAAATTTATGTTCTAGGAATAGCAGAATGTACACCCATTTAAAAAGCTAATGAATATTTTCTCCCTCTAATGAAGAAGAAACACAACCTTGACTAGGAATCTACCCCTAGGAGCTTAGAGCTTTGTTCACCTGACACAAGCTGAATCCCATCCCCGACCTTGGAGGGAATGTACAGTGGCTCTGGGGCTCGGAAGTAGCTGGTTAAACCTCATACTCACGCAAGGAGTCTTCCGTTGTGGGGTCCCTTTAGGAGAGCTTTTGTGCATTTTCTTATAAGAATTTGGCGGATGTCTTAATAGACTGATTAAGGAATCATTCTAGGAAAAACAAGGCTGAAGGAGAAAAACAGCTGAAGTATTCATTTTCTTAGCCTGCTTTTAGAGCCAGAGAAAATAGCCTTTAAGATCTATTTCTTCTCTAGGAGGAAAAATATTACTGAATTTTGACTCAGAATGTCCTTATGTTGGGGTGAAATAGCCTACCCACTAATGTCTTTTTGACCTTCCTCTTCTCTCTCCACCGTTTTTTCTTTACTTAGAATGTTTTCGGGGCAATAAGTAGAGGTTAAGTGGGAAATGACATTGGAAACGTTGCTTGGGACCAAGCTGTGCAAGGACCAAAAATGCCAAGTGACTTTCTCCCTAATTATGTATGTAATGGAAAAACATGGGATTTTTCTGAGCAGAAGGCAGCACGATTGCAGTGGAAGGAGTTTGGGATCTCATTGTCTGTGTGGCCTCTGCTAGGACACCAGGCTTCTTTGTAGAACAGGAGTAATGCATCTTTCACAAGCTGTATTTGGGAAAGTCAGCAGGTCCTGTGCGCTGGGGTACTTTGTAAACCACAAGACAGTTTTTCGTACTCTCACCCATCAGATTCCTTTTTGGAAAGATCAACCAGGCAAAGGAGTATAAGCTGAGTTGGACACAGGAGGACCAGGGCAAATGTTGGCAGGTGATGGCTGTGACTGCGGACAAGGGCTGTGGAGGAGGACAGGGCCACAGGCAGAAGGAGGGATGGATAAGAATGAGGTCGCAATAGAAGGAGAGTCCGTGCAATCTGTCATCACATGGAATGGAGAGAAGACAGCACAGTTACTGCAGGTTTCGAGGTGGGTGATGGGAATTATAAACTACAACGCCAGACACATGGAACAAAGAAGAACAGTAGGTCTGGAGGTGAAAGCGATGTGTTCATTTGGGGCTGTGTTGAGTTGAAGGTGTCTTGACATGTCAGTCAGGGAGATGGACACAGGGAAAACCTCGGGGAGTAATTAGAGCGGGGCAGGAGGTGCTGGTGACACCTGGAGTTGAAGGAGTGACTGGAATCCCTGAGAAAGAGAGGGCAGACCCACACCTTGAGAGCCAGAGCCTTGAGTGCAGCGCTGGAGCACGTGGGCTCTGCAGGCAGCCTGCCTGGCCCCTAATTCATTCACCTTGGGCATGTTGCTTCATCTCTCTGTTCTCGCTTTTCTCATCTGTAAAAATGGGGATAAAAAAATAGAATCTACTTTGTTGGGTTGTCGTGGAGAGTACAAGAAGCCATAAGCACGAAACTGTTAGAATCGTGCCTGGCGCACAGTAAGCACTCAATAAATGGCTATTCTTAAAATTGGAAGGTGAATCTCAAGGGTTTCTCTATTTAGGGGCTCACTAGAGTAGCTTTCCTCTATTTATTTATTTGGCTTGCTATTAGTCCACATATAGTTTACAAACAAACACCAAACGTAGGCTTATGTAATATCATGGAAAGTAAGTTAGCCTTCAAAGGCATGAAGGCTCCTTTATGAAGGACAGTCTTTCATTGACTTAAGATCTCTGGCATTAATTACAGGTTTCGGTACATGAAAGTCTTGCCCAAATCCAGGAGTCCCTGATTTGAAATGCAAAATCTGTGAAACTGAAGCTTGCCAATGGAAATGCAAATACTTCCAACATTTTCATTTACCTGTGACTCATGGCTACAAGTATGATCCAGTACTCCCCTTGTAAAAACACACACAAACTGTGGGTTTTCACTGTGGTCGGATAAACCAGTCACGATGAATGAATTTGGCCACAGCTCTTCCTTTCTAAGGATGCCTCAGACCGGGGCTCTGATCCTTCTCAATTGTAAATGGATACGTGTGCATATTAAAATATTGGCATTCAGAGGACACCATCAAAGCAACTGATCCTGGGGCGGTCTGCCATCTCTGCTTATTGCTTTAATAATTGAATGTAACTGGAAGGTCTTCTCATATCTACTAAATATTTGTGAGGATTGGCTATAAGTTAGTGAAGCAATTTTTTTTAAATTTTAATAAAAAATATTCCAGAGACAGGCATTCAAATGGATAAGCCATTTGAAAGAGCCACTTTGATGTCTTGGTGACGCTCCGAACACTTCGGAATACCTTTTTGGGGATTGCCTCCCTAGTTCTTGGCACATTCTCTCAGATATCCTTATTGTGTGAAAAATCCTTCTCTTTAAAGGAGATATGAGATTTTGAAAAGACATGAAAGGCATTCAGATTTCATTGAGCTAATGCCATTTTGTTCAAAACCAAGGTGTCACTAAGATAACAAGGCTATTTTTCTTTTCTGGATCATAAACCGGCTTGGAAAGCAAATTTAACAGAAGAACTCGAAAGCACACTTTCCATGGTGAACATTAATTTCTTCCCAGAAACGAAGAGAATCTGCTTCGTAGTGACCAACCTATCCTGTTTGCCCAGGACTTTTTCTGTTTTAGCACTGCAAATATGCAGTGCTGGGCAGACCAGGACGGTTGGTGGTCCTACTGGGAGGCAGGCACATTCCTCCAGGTGACAAGACTTTGACCTTGCCCCTGTGACCACAAGAATCCAAGGGTCTCTCACCCGAGCTTACTTCCCATGGGTACCGGCTCCTTGCACGACTCCTGAAGGACAGCACTGGTTTCGGTGTGCGTGTTACCATAGGCTTCTTTGCTTGTTTGTTGGCTCGTTTCTAAGACCAGTCTAGTTGAACTATTCCAGTACCTTTGAACTTTTCGTTGTTATTTGGAATAACAACGTTTGGAATTGTTTTGTGGTTTGCAGCTCCTGCGTCTTGGCAACGTTTTTGCTGACACTGAATCAGCCTGTGTGGTCCAAGAAGTGGAATCAGATTTCTAGACCAAGTGTAGCATTTATTAGCCGTGAATCCCTTAGCCTACCTGACCCTCAGTTTCCTTACCCAGCAAATAGGGAAAATAAGCGCCTTTGCTATTTCATAGGGTTAATACGAGGTTGAAAAGAGAGAACACATGTGAGCTGCAAAGTTACTAATTTTTAACAATTAGTTTAGTTACAACTTATTGGATGACTGCTCCATGCAAGACCTTCCAGAAACTCATAACAGAGTTTCTGGAGCAGATACATAACATGTGTCTTCTGTTTCTACATAACTGACCGCTAGAGGATGTCTGTAGTGCTGTGATAGTCATCTGAACAAGGTTCTAGGACTTCAAAGGATAGGCTGATTAACTCTGCTTGGGGCAGTCTGGAAGGCTGCCCAGAGGAGGTGATGCTTGAATTGGATCCTGAAGGATGACAGAGAAAATGGCATGAGCAGGGACATGGAGGTGGGAAGGCTAGGGCCTGTATGGGGAACTGTGTATCCGGAGTGAGGCAGGATGGAGCTAGACCTTGAAGGATCTTAAGTGCCAAACTGAAAAATGTGAACTTTCTCAGTGATTTGACCTAGTCAGAGCCTTCTGGCTTCAGTATGGAGGATGGAATAGACTTTAAAAGGAACAGGACATGGGGAGACCAGTTATTGAAGTTTCTTGTGTTCACCCAGGGAAGATCTGGGTAGAATAAATGAGGACAGTGGCAAGTGGAAGGGAGAGGAGGAGGGAGATCGAAGTGTCCTCCTCATCAATAATGTCCCCTTATTGGAGAGACCTGGCTTGACCACTCTATTCCCATCTCCCACCTCACTTGCCTTCCTTAGCTTGCAATATTTTTCTCCTTAGCATTAGTACCACCTGCCATGTTATACATTTACTTTTTATGTGTTTATTATATCTTTCCCCTACTAGAATGGAAGTTCCGTGAGGGCAGGGCTTTTGTTTCATTCTTGGCTATATCTTTGTTGTCAGGACAGTGCCTGGTATACAGTGGGTCCTCAATACATATTTACTAATTTAAAAGTAAATCAATAAAATAAGTTTGAGGTCCAACCCACAGACTATGTAAGTCAACTGGGCAATACACTCAGGTGTTTATAGATTAAACTTACTTCATTCTAAGAAGCATTTGAGGTGGCTCCAGAAATATATACACTACAGAATGATTTAAACAGAAGAGGAATAAATTAGATCTAGAGGAAAAAGAAGGGAATAAGATGATAAACCACAGAGAATCAGTGTGCTGATGTGAGTGCCACAAGGGCTGCACTAAAATTTTCAAGGTGGGAAGCAAATTCATGTCTGAGCTTCCTGACAGCCAAGGCAAAGAGGGGAACATGGCCAGTTATGAGACCCACAGCCTTCATTGGGTGAAAACATGTCATTTTTCTCAGTAGAAGCCCTGATTCTTTTTCATGGATAGAAATGACACTGAAACCATCTGCTTTAGCCTTCATGCTGTTTGGTGAGGTGACTACCTGGTAACCCCTTAACTATTTTGGAGGAGCTTAGTCTTGTGTGCAGCCTCACTCATTCACTATAAGAGGTCACCAGAAATTTCCAAACCAGAATCAGCTAGTGACTGGTTAAGTGATACTCACTCAAGGGCAGGATTGGGTGGGGAGAGGAATGTAAACAGTTGGTTCCTGTCCTTCTACCCTCTCCAGAACCTTTATCCATCTCCAAGTCTTATCTCCATTGATAAAGAGGAAAGTTACAGAGAAATCTGGCAAAGGTCAATGAAGTTTGCATCCTCTATTTGTCTCTCTTCCTTTGATTTATTCAAGTTCCTATGAAGTACCACTTAAGTGAGAGGTTTGGTTTGGCTGATGGTGTGTTTTTAAGAGAGAGAAACCAGGTGAGAAGGGGAGAAGAAGCTGATTTCTCAAACGATTAAAAGGTAGTTTTGACTCTAGTAAAGGATTTTCATCTTTAAAAGATGTTTGCTGGTAAAAGGATTTTTGAAAAAGTAATAGATCCACCTGGTAAAACAAAACTCAAATAGGGCAAAAAAGAATCAACCAATGCTGCCACATTTTTGTATATTCTTGCAGAGATATTCGTATTTATACACATACATAAGTACTTTCATTATATAAATGAGAATTTTTGATACAAATTCTTCCCTTGCTTTTTTTCACTTAACAAATCTTGGAGAACATTCTCTGAGTTCCTATTAAGCTACTTTATTTTTTAAAAATGTGAAATGGTTTTCCCTTATGTGGGCAACATCATCTATGTATCCAACTTCCCAACTGATGGATATTAGGCTGTTTCCAGTGGTTTGTTATTACAAACATTGCTTCCATGAAATCAATGAAGTTTGAATCTGCCTTAATCAGGGTTCTGGAAGGAATCAGCACTGAAACTCAGAAGTTCAAATTAAGAGACTTATGATAGGGACCACTTTACAGAGGTGTGGGAGGCTTGAGGGAACCAGGGATGGATGTTGAGGCACCCTGGAGCTGACAATAGCAGGAAGCTGTTACTACCCCCAGGCCTGAAGGGGAATATGGTGCCATTGGAGCCTCTGGAGAGCAGGAACACTGAGGAAGGACCACCCACCAGGAGCTGTATACTTCCGGAAACACAGCATCCAAGGATAGAGGAAGCAGGGAAAAAGTGCCTCCACCCCTCTCTCTTCCTGCCCTGAAAACTCCTGCCTGGGCCTTCCATTAGCCAAACCCAGCCACAGAGGCCAGTTGGCAAGGGACCCAGGTGACCATAGTGGTCACCCTCCTGCACAGAAGTGGGCATAGAAGAGCAGAAAATGGGTCTGGGGTGGGAGTGGAGCACATGTTCAGCATACCTATTGCAATTTCTAGAAATGGAATTGCTGGCTCAAAGGCAGATGCATTTTCGGTATTGTTTTATAAGTCACTCTGCATTTTTATTTACCCTTTCTGTAGGTTTTCCCTTCCTTTCTGCATTTCTATATTTCTGCTGGGAATAATTTTCCTTTTATCTGAAGAACTCACTTCAGAAATTCTTTTAGTGCAGTTCTCCTGGCTGAGGATTCTCTCAGTTTTGCTTGTCTTTTGACTTTTAGTTTTGGAGGATAATTTCATTGAGTATATGATCCCAGGTGGGCAGTCATTTTCTTTCAGCACCTTGTCTTCTGAGTTTTATTGCTTCTCTTGAAATTTGCCTCTCAGTCTTAATGTGGTTCCATTGAAGATTCTCTCTACTTTTAAGCTTCTCTCTTTATCTTTGATTTTCAGTAGTTTGAAGGCAGTTTTCCTATGATATGCCTCAAGTTGTTTTCTTTGTTTTCATCATGATTAAATTCAGGGAGCTTCTTGAATCTGAGTTATAACATATTTCATCAGTTTCAGAAAATTCTTATCTATTATCTTTTGAAATATTTCTTCTGCTGTATTGTCTCTTTCTGTGTCTCCAATTATACTTATATTATCCCCTTTCACTGTGTCCCATTTGTCTCCTATGCTCTTTTCTATATTTTCCATCCTTTTTTCTCTTTGTCTTTTTTCTGGATATTTTATATTGTCTTCCAGTTCACTAATCTATCCTTTCTGGGTCTAAATCTGCTCTTAAACCCATCTATTGAATTTCAAATTTTCACTTATTGTATTTTCCAGTCCTACCATTTTTATTTTATTATTTTTTATAGATTCTGATTATCTGGTGGAATTATCCTTCTTCATCTGTTTATCCATTGTTTTGGCTATTTGAAATGAAAACATTAGCTGTTTAAATTAACTCCAATAGCTTAGTCATCCATAGGTCTTTTTCTACTTTCTTTTTTCTCCTCTTGGTTTTTGGCTATTTGCTCTCATCTTTTAGCATGCTGGTAATTTTTCAATGAATGATAGACATTGTATATGAAAAAAATACTGAGACTGTAAATGATGTTGTCTTCCTTCAGGAGGAGCTCTTTCCTAGCTAGTCAGCGAGAATGGGGACTGATCCTCTTAAGACAGTGCGACAGTCAGACTGATATCTTCAGACAGCCCTAACCCAGTTTAAGCTGGGTTGCAGTTGTGGCAAGCCTCTGTCTAGTTCTATTTCCCCCACTTTTAGGGGAGATCCCTCTAGGGATACCAACTGTGAATCTAGGGTATTAAGCAGGGATCTTCTCTTTTCTTTTTTCTTTTGCTGAGGAAGATTAGCCGGGAGCTAACATCTGTGCCAGTCTTCCTCCACTTTATACATATGGGTCGCCACCACAGCATGGCTGACGAGTGGTGTAAGTCTGTGCCTGGTATCCAAACCTGTGAATCCAGGCTACCAAAGTGGAGCGTGCTGAACTTAACCATTAAGCCACGGGGCCAGCCCTGGGATTCTTGCTTTTAACAGGCCTTAAACTCTTATCCTTGCCACTGTGAGACTGCCAAAACCCTGCTTTTAGTTTCTGAGTCTTTATTTGTCTTCTTAGCCTCCTGCCCAGTTAGTTTCAAAATGTGGCAAATGTCTTCTGGGAAAACTGATAGTGTTGGGCTCCGTTCTCTGCTCATGCTTCCTCACTGGAGTCCTGGCCCCTAAGCCTCTAATTTTCTCCCTCTAGCCCCACAGACTGCCAAAAGATTTGCTTCTTTCTTTGCTTCTTAAGAGAAGTCCCCTAACTGGTGTCACCTGGGTTCTTCACCTCCTGCCCTGTAACTAGGACTGGTAAGTTCTCTGAAGAAAAAAGGGGCTGCAGAATGTCAACTCACCTTTCTGCAGCTCCCTTTTTCCAGAACTTTTGCCCATTAAGTCCTAGTGCCTCAACATCTTTCCAAACCTCAAGCAGATTTTTTTTTTTGTATTTTATTTGGCTTTTCTAGTTGTTCTTTATGGGAAGGTTGATCTGCTGCAGTCTACCCCATTATATTCAGAAATGGAAATCTTGTCTGGTCTGTTTTTTTTTTTTTTTTTTTTTGGTGAGGAAGATTGGCCCTG